AGCGTCGCATATCATATAAGTTTACATTATATATCACTTTTGTCCAACCACTACTCGCTAGATGCACATCTCTACAGAATAAACCTCGTTGACAGCAATATGTAGGTGCAGAACCGGTTATGATGACATCGATCACACAGTTTGGTATTGCCCGGGTAATGATGCCTTCAGAGCACAACTGTTGGATACCCTAGTGGCCCGAGGTAGACAACCCTTCCGTGAAGTAAGAGATGTATTGGGAACCCATGATCTTCCCTACATGCAGGCAATCTACGAATTTCTTTGTTTGTCTGAATGTTAGAGTTTGATGTGTTCATCCCCTCCTTTCCAAACAATTTCCAGCCATTGTGTCCCAGTCTTATTATCCTTCTGTTTCTGTGCTACTTGCCCCTGCCCAGCCAGGATTTGGTCAACCGTCCGAGAGTTCTGAAGGAGGCTTCAGAAACCAGTTTCCTACACAGATAAAAATTCTGAATTTTAATAGTGATGTAAACATTCATTCACGTAAACTTGTATTTCATTTCACGCAACCGAGCAACTTGTAAACAATGTTGTTTACAACAATGGGCTTTTGTTGTTTACAACAATGGGCTCAGGTACTACTCTCGGACGGTTGACCAAATCCTGGCTGGGCAGGGGCAAGTAGCACATCAAACTCTAATATCAGACAAACAAAATAATTCGTAGATCACCTGCATGTAGGGAAGATCACGGGTTCCCAAAACATCTCTTACTTCACGGAAGAGTTGTCTACCTCGGGCCACTAGGGTATCCAACAGTTGTGCTCTGGAGGCATCATTACCCGGGCAATACCAAACTGTGTGATCGATGTCATCATAACCGGTTCTGCACCTACATATTGCTGTCAACGAGGTTTATTCTGTAGAGATGTGCATCTAGCGAGTAGTGATAGACAAAAGTCTTGACATCACGCGAATGAAGCCCCGACTTACATTCAGACCTTTGGACCATGCTCTCGAAGAACCATTTGGAATAATGGAATGTAACCACCGCCCAATCGTTTTGCCAACTTAAAAGATAACTCTGACGTACTAATGTGAAAATTCATCATGTGAAATTCTTCTATCATAAATCTCGTCTTGTTGTGCGCCCACCTTTGCGAGAGAGTCTGCCTTCTCATTGCCTAGGATTGAGCAATGTGAGGGGACCCATACAAAGGTAATCATACATGATCTTTCGACCAGCAAACTCATCTGCTCCCTAACCTTTTAAAGGAAATAAGATGAGTGACTACCTTGTTTCATCGACCGAATAGCCTCAATCGAACTAAGACTATCCGAGAAGATGTAAAGCTTGCTTCAGATAGAATTGGAACAAAAACAATTGCCTGTATTTCAGTTATTTATTATTGAATTCAAGATCTTTTTTATTCAAATGTAGCGTTTTCTTCATACTTTTAAGAAAAAATACGGATAAAATTATTCGTCACGGTTTCGAAGGAATTCTCGAATTTTTCCTGTAACACGGCTCATTAGGCGGCGCACACCTTCTTCGTCCATCGTTTTAGCTATCTTATTCCACCAGGTCTTCATCTGATTGATGTCTTTGACAACCTTTCCCTTTGCCTTGAGTCTCCTCTTCATGATTGCCCAGTATTTCTCAATAGGGCGGAACTGGGGGCAGTTGGGTGGGTTAAGGTTTTTCGGAACAAACTGGACCCCTTTCTCCGCATACCATTCTTGAACGACTTTGCTGTAATGACAGCTTGCCAAATCTGGCCAAAACATTACGGGATGGTCGTGGGATCGAATGAACGGCAAAATTCGTTTTTGGAGACACTCTTTTTGGTATAGTTCCGACGTCATTGCCTTATTTGTAACGAAAACTTTCGTTTTTTTGCCACAGCTGAAAATGCCCTGCCAAATCATAAATTTTCGTGCAAATTTGTCGACAAAAACAAATTTAAATTTGGCTGGAACATCCCCCCGAGTCGTTGCCAAGTAAAATTTTTGACCTGGGATTTGCCCGAAGTCAGCCTTGACATAGGTTTCATCGTCCATCAGAAGACACCCGTCGAACTTGGTCAGCACCTGGTCGTATAGCTTCCGCGCACGGATTTTGGCCACACTATTCTGTTTTATGGTCCGATTTGGCTGTTTGCTAGCTCGATACGACTTGATTCCTTCCCGGAGTCGAGTTCTCCTCACGGTACTATGGGCAGCACCGAAATTTCTGGCCAAATCACGGTCCGACAGATTGGGATTCCTCTTAATCGTCTTCAAAATCTTACCACGCAGTTTCCGGTCGACAGTTCCACTCCGACGATTGGCTTGAGGCTTCCGAATCGTCGTCAATGTTTCCTTATACCGTTTGATAACGCGCCATACGGTATTTCTGGGCAATTTCAGCTGTTTAGCTAGCCTAGATGCAGACCACAATAGATTTTCCAAATAACTGTGCACATTTTTTTCCCTTCTTTCGGCTTCCATGTTGATTGTTTACAAAGTACAGTCGATTTGCGGAATGTCAAAAATACATACGTGAAGCTGACAAAATTCCCGACACGTGGGCGCCAAGAACTTCCAAATCCGTCCACCAGGAGCACCACAATATGAGCAAAAGTGTGTTCCAATTCAAAATGAAGCAAGCTTTGTCTGTGGGCAGGTCCGAAATCATCCCCAATGCGAAGTTGATTGCTGCTATCTCAGCAACATAAACGGAACAAGGTTCCTGAAGTTTTCGAAAGGCGGTTGAGTATTCATTGAAGACGCCGAAGCCAGTGGATCCATCAATGCGTGATCCATCAGTGAAAAATCTTCTATTGCACACAGTTGTATTTGTAATTCCAAGCTGTTTAGCGATCCATCGGTGGGACACCTCTGAATTTTTTATTGTAAGTGTACACAATTTTTTCACGGACAATTTCTTGTTTCGACGACATGTTCCAGTCACTTGATGAATAACTATGAAACTTGACAGATGTAAAAAAAAATACAATATGAATAGGATTTACCCAAATTTTCAGGTTTTTACTCATACGGTTCAAAAGTAACAGAAGATGCCATTTTATCGAATACACCCTTTATAGCACGGAAACGGCACTTCTGATCGAAATGACTTCTGAGACAAAGTTGTTGATAAAAAAATTCTATTTGGTAAAAATAAACAAAAAATAATGTTTTTAGGTAAAAAGTAAAAACTCAAATATCTTAATATGTCCTTTTCCGCTTTTGGAAATATGTTTTTCAAATAAAAACATATGTAAAATTCAAAGTGTTTTTTGTTAGGGTAGATGTACCAGTTATGGCTATACGCTCCTATTATGGTGTACTCCAATTATGGCTTAGTTTTATTGAGACATTCGCTTTTGAATGTATATGGGCATTTTGTATATGAAGATCCAACATTCAACATTAAACCAAAAGCACCAGCCCTTGTAACGTTAAAAGGAGCTGAAACATTCAGAGAGTGGTTATCGCACCAAAAGAAACGAGCCTGAATGTTGCCTGTCTAATTAATTAATTAATATGTCCATAATACTAACTTGAATTGTGATGCTGTCTTCAGCAAAGTTGTTCCTCATAGATTAAGCTACGTGTGCTGAAATTCTGAGCTTAATCTAGTTTGCTGAACCAGTTCTATGCACGAAATAGATGAGGAGTATTATTTCTCCATACATTACAATCAATATCCCTATGTAAATTCGAAATCAAAAGCACCAGCTCGTGTTACATCCGAATGAGCTGAAATTTTCAGAGAGTGGTTTTCTCACCTAATGGCACAAATTTGGCCCATTGAAAAAAATTACAAAAAAAAATTGCCCCGTATAAATGTGGGCCAGTCTAGTACGGCAGTATGAAAATTTAATAGAAGTTGGAAATGAGCGAAGGGACATTAATGCGACAGCATTATTCAAACGCACACTTCTTTACCTAACTCATACATGAATCGATGAGAAGACTTGAAGTATTTCTTCAAATATACAGGTCTGTTGAAGTCACACAAAACATTCGGAAAGCTTGATTCAGAATGTAAAAAAAATTACACGATTTAAATCGCAAATTGAGGTCGATAACATTCTTCCAGCACTGCATTTTTTATCTTGGTCACTTTAACACTCTTGGGGCATTCGCAACTTGTCCGGAAAGAGATTTGAACTCGTGACTTTGGCGTTTATCCACTACGCCGGGGCTGTCCCATTCCTTTATCATTCAAAACCATAGACAACCATTCCTGCGTAATGAATTTTCACTCCATAAGGGGTAAATAAACTCTTTCTCTCGCAAACCAAAGACCAACTAGTCTGCTCTACTCACTCACAACCGTCATCACCGGCCATGCTCCATTCGATCGGTCAGCTCAAATTCATCGTAACTTTAATGCGCCATAATTCGCAACTTACCCCCAAGTGCCAATAGCTGTCCAATTAGTCGGGCTTTCAGCGCCTCGCCTATGGCCAGCCAAACTTGAACCAACCAAGTTGTGCTTCCAAGTACCCACTCCGCGCGCCACCGGTACCAAAAATGGTCAAAATTCATTTCGAATAATTTATGAAAATCAGTACCTACCTTGCCAACCTCTCTTTGCATGGCTGCGGGTTCGATGTCGTGAGCTCGCGCGTGATCTGCAAAGCGACAAAATTATATTTTATGGTATCTTTCTTTTGCATATTTTTTCCCTCGGTGATCTCCTCTATCTTTTTCACTTTTTTTTTTTTATAGGTAATGGTTCAAGTTTTGCCATGTTTGGACCGAGACCGGCTTTTATACCTTTACGCACAGCACTCACGACGATCGCGGTGATGCTTCTTTTTTGGGCGATGTCTAATTATCAGAAAATAATAATTACGCAAATAACGATAATCATAATCCAAGTAGGCAGTCATGGCGTAATAAAAAAAAACTGCTGAACTCATGCGTTGTCGATCACAGTAGGCGCCGTGTACCAAATCGACACAGGTGGCTTGGAAGATGCAGATTGTTGTTATTTATTTCTAACCATTTGATTCTGATGTAAATTGTGCTCTTCATTCATTCCAGGGAGGACAAACAACGTCTCGGTACCGCCATCGCTGCCTACCTAGAATACCAGAAAATATGCGGCTCCAACTTCCCGCAGTCCAACCGTACCAAAGCCCTTCAGTCCCCCGGTTCTGACCTCAGCGGTCGTCGCACGCCCACCTGGCTCGATCTGGACATCTACTCTACTCAGAAATTCCTGGAATCCGTGGCCGGCCCGCTGCGGATCCCTTCGCACAAACGTTACATCAAATACTTTTCCGGTCTCCTGTCCGGTACCATCAAAATGAACGCAGCCTCCCTCTTTCTGCGGGCCATCATCGTCGAGTCGCCACCCTGCCTCCACTACCGATCCGTCACCGTCAACAGCGAGTGGCGAAGTTTTATCAAAGTCTACGAGGGCGTGCGGTGTCTGTTCACGTCGGACATCTACGTGATACCGATCACCACCCGGCAGTTTATCTACGAGATCAAACACCCGCTCCGGTTGCGAGGGGACGTCCTCATCCGGTGCTACCAGATCATACCAAATAACAACAAACTGCACGACGAGAAGGAACTCATCTCGGGCGTGCAGTTTCACACCTGTGCCATAACCGAGAACGAAGTACAATTCGCCAAGATCGAGCTGGACCTGGCGTGTAACGGTAAGCGTTTTCAGTCTCCTGAGACAACTAATTTGAGCTGCCTGTTTTTTTTTGTTGCAGATGACCGGTTTCCGGCCGATCACAAAGTCAGACTCTGCTTCAATACGACACCAAATGAGAGGAGTGCGATACTGGTCTTTCAGAATCCGCTCGTACGGATAGAACCCATCATCGAGGGCGGAGACCACCTGGAATCGATCAACGAAGGTGAGTTTGGATTTCTGCTTTAACTCTCCATGGTAATCCAGGGCTTCGCGTTGCGGTATTTCTTGAAATATGCTAAAGTTTGGGTGTATAGGGGAAAATGCAGCTTCTGATCCGTAGTTTGTAGGTAACAGGTCAAACGAGGCATACATGTTGTTTAGGAAAGACCAACAACCAACACTACAAATACTATTTTTGTACCTGTGAATTTCACGCTGTATTGTAAATCAATGGCTTATGTTGGACCATAACTCACTTGGTTCGATGGTACTGATTGGAGCATTAGTGCACAAGTTGAGGGTGTGATTGTCTTTAAACTAGTCTTTATGTATGAATCAAAACAAGAAGCTATGTTTGAACTTTTGACGTAGGATTACGTCTTTTGGCAACATATTGGGGGTGCAATTTCAAAAATCAAAATCGACCGCGTTACGAAAAGTGGTCAGGTTTCGACCACTTATAATTCTGTCCATAGCTGATGGATTTTAATTCTTAACAAGCTAATCGATTGGATTTTTTTCTACCAATCTGCTAAAACTAATACTTTATCAATTTTCAATAGGTTACTATTGAAAATTAAACGAATCTCCAACTTTTGCAATGGTGATCAAAATTATCACCGATTGCCGGCAAATAGGACTTTCCCTAACACAGATTCCAAAATCGAATTCCATCCAGTCTCGCCGAACGGTGTGGTAAGTGTCATCAGCAGCAGCAGCAGCAGTGCTTTCGGCGCGTGGCGTTGAACATTTTTCTTCAGTACACAACAAAAGGCTCCCCACAAGCAGCTAGCTAACAAGGCTGCCCTCAAGAGCCCTCAATTCACTGAAGAAGGAGAAAGAAGCCGCACCGCTACTGATCGGATTCAGTTGTTCTTCGTGAGCCGCTGTGGACCATCTATCCCAAGTGCATCACCCTCGTTCCAAAAAACTTACAGCTCACCAGTCTCATCCGTGTTGAACACCCTAATAGCTCAGCATTACTCAATCATCACGACAAAATGTTCCTTTTCCGGACAACCAGTTTAAGAGTTAATTTTCATTGAACGTTCGCTCGCCTTACTGCCAGCCACATCTTTTTGATAATGTACCCAGCAACCAAACGTTTGTGGTCAAATGCGTAACAGTATTGAAGTGGTGCACCAAAATTATCGCAATGACCGACTACCACATGACTTTGTCAATCAACCGGAAACACTTTGAATTAAGATAAGGTTTTCTCCAGAACGCTAGAAAAAAGCAAAAACAAATCTCGAATGTATATTACATGCTTACATTTATTTGTACAACATCACATTTAAGATGAGACATAATCAACAATAGTACGCCACAGTACTCGGTTTGCGCTGCCGCTCTCCATCCTCGGTCATGCCCAAGGCTCGCTAGATCACGCTCTACCTCGTCCGCCCATCGTGCTCTCTGCGCTCCACGCCTTCTTGTGCCAACCGGATCAGTAGCGAACACCAACTTTGCAGGGTTGTTGTCGGGCATTCTTGCAACATGCCCTGTCCACCGCATTCTTCCGGCTTTGGCCACCTTCTGGATGCTGGGTCGCTGCACTCTACGAGCTCGTGGTTCATTCTTCGCCGCCACTCACCGTTCTCCTGCACACCACCGAAGATCGTCCTTAGCGCACGTCGCTCGAAAACTATGAGTGCTTGCAGGTCCTCCTCGAGCATAGTCCATGTCTCGTGTCCATAGAGGACAGCCGTCAATAAGGATCCAAGGTAAACGAATTCCTTCACTACCTCGAAAGTATCCCCGTCTACCGTGACATTACTTCCTAGACGAATCCTGTCATGTTCGGTTCCGCCTACTAGCATGTACTTTGTTTTTGACGCACTCACCACCAGTCCGACCTTTGCTGCTTCGTGTTTCAGGCGGGTATATAGTTCTGCCACCGTTCCAAATGTTCTTGCGATAATGTCCATGTCGTCCGCAAAGCACACAAATTGACCGGATTTCATGATTTTCCATAGTTCTGTGTGGACGATACTGTCGTATGCCGCCTTAAAGTCGATGAACAAATGATGCGTTGGGACCTGGTATTCACGGCATTTCTGGAGGATTTGCCGTATGGTGAAGATCTGGTCCGTTGTCGATCGTCCGTTGATGAAGCCGGCTTGATAACTTCCCACGAACTCGGTCATTTTAGGTGATAGACGACGGAAGATGATCTGGGATAGCACTTTGTAGGCGGCATTCAAAATGGTGATCGCTCTGAAGTACTCACATTCCAAATGGTCGCCTTTCTTGTGAATGGGGTAGATTACCCCCTCCTTCCACTCCTCCGGTAGCTGTTCTGTTTCCCAGATCCTGACTATCATCCGGTGCAGGCCGGTGGCCAATTTTTCTGGGCCCATCTTGATGAGTTCGGCTGCGATACCGATTGTTGTTTTTGAGCTGCTGAATGGCATCTTTAACTTCCCTCAGCGTGGGAGTTGGGTCAGTTCCGTCCTCTGCTACACTGACGTAGTCGTTTCCTCCATTGCGCTGGTCTCCCATTCAGGTGCGCATCGAAGTGCTGCTTCCACCTTTCAATCACCTCACGTCAGTCCGTCAAGAGGCTTCCGTCTTTATCCTTGCACATTTCGGCTCGCGGCACGAAGCCGTTGCGGGATGCGTTGAGCATCTGGTAGAACTTCGTGTTTCTTGGGAACGGCACAGCAGTTCCATTTCCTCGCACTCCGCTTCTTGAAGGCGGCGTTTTTTCTCTCGAAAGATGCGGGTCTGCTGTTTCCGCTTCTGTTTATACCGTTCTACGTTCTGTCGAGTTCCATGCTGCAGCATTACCGCTCTGCTCCTCCAAAATCACTCTGCACTCCTCGTCGAACCATTCATTCCGTCGACTTCTTTCCACGTACCCCAAGATGCTCTCGGCTACGTCGGTGATGATGGCTGGTTTTACTGTACTCCAGCAGTTCTCTAGAGGGGGCACATCGAGCTCGCCCTCCTCTGGCAACGCTGCCTCGAGATTCTGCGCGTATGCTAAGGCGACATCCGGTTGCTTCAGTCGCTCTAGGTTGTACCAACAATCAATACGAAACTAACGATTTTGAATTGGCTCACTACTTGACTAGCCTATTGGTCCCAAGCAAATCGACTAACGTAACCTTATTCTAGTATAAATTCCAGTACTACACTATGTTTGTTTTGATTCGCTATGAAAGTTTGACAGATAAAATGAGTGGATTTTCCTATGTTTCGAGGGGTGAATCGATTAGCTTGGGAGCGAAGATAGTACCAGAGCTGAGCCAAAAAGTTGTGCTCGTTTCTTCGGGACCTTCTGGTCTTAGAGTTATCTCTATGGTTGTACAGTGGCGGGCGTCGGTACCGTACATTGTTGATGACGGAAAGTTTTGGGCGCAGTTTGACCATCAACAGGTAGTGGTCAGAGTCGATGTTAGCGCCACGCGAATGGAAAATTTTAGCAAAACATTCCCCCAATAAATTTTCGCTTCTTTTTATTATCTATTGAATAAATGAAAAATCCCGGGCGTTTTGTGCACGAAAATGCGTAATTTTGTCATCAGAAAACGAGGCGCTTCCATGATGAGAAAAAGTGGTTTCACTAACACAGTCGCTGAATATTGATTCCGAGCACATAATCCTACGTCAAATCTACGGGCGTGCTTGGATACAACATCTTACTTGTATTCCCGATAAATCGACGGATAAAGCTATTTTTTACAAATGCAGATTTACCCTTTTGAAATGTTGTATCGATTATTTGACCAATACGTTGGCTGAATGAAGGTTTAGTGCCTCTCCTGAATCACATTTCTTCCGATCCTGATGGTAGCGACAGTTGTGTCCTGGCCCGGCGTTATTGCACACATAATTATTTTCAGTTTCTTTCATGCACTCTAGCGCAATTTCCCTAAATTTTCTCTTCTGCGCTTTTGATGCAGTCAGTCCTTTCGCTGGTTCGGAGGCTACTATTCCTGCTGGTCCGGATTCAACTGATCCCACTGGTCCAGATGTTACTGACCCCGTTGACCTGAAACCGACTGATCCCACTGATCCGGATGCTGCTGATCTTGCTGGCTCAAGTGGTGCTGATACTGCTGCCGTTGATGTTGATGCTGTTCCTGATAATACAATCGCCTCTGCCGCAGTTGTTATCGGTGCTTCAAATTCACCCGACACTACAGATGCCGGTGGTTTCATTTTCACAACACTAACTTTTAATCACTTTTATCACACGGAAAAGCTGTGCACGGTGAATAAATAATAAAAGAGTAAATTTTCAAAAATCCGTATCTGCTTTTATGAACAAAGATTCAAACGTCAATTCGTCCACACTCTTAGCTCGCCCACGCAAACTAACATCACTAACATCATGGTGTTGTTTGAGGGAGAAGTATTGTAATATTATGAGCACAAAATGCTTTCCACTCTCCACATTCCGATTTATTTGTCGGACAACGGAAGAAGGAAAGATAAAGCAAACCATTTCTCGATTCATTGTTGCAAAGATTTGCTTTGCACTTCATTTTGAACTTTTACGCACGAAACAAAACAAAACTGCATAACGAAGAGCTCTATGATGGCATGAACTTTTTTCACGGATGCCAGTAAGATCATTTATTTTTCATGGTTGCCAAAACAACTTTTTGTGCCTTGTGTTTATCTATGGAATCTATAGTATCTACACGCTTTTTTCAAAACTATTGTGATTCTTAAGAAAAATCCACATAATGCCCAACAACTTATGCGCCGATCAGTTGCGCGCCGGGTTGTGCGCCAGCTATCTTGATGAATATGTAAACAAACAAACGTCAAAAAAATCCGTATCGAACAGCAAATTTTCCGAGTTTGTTCTATTCATAACAGTTTCCAAATCCATACTTTCCATAACATTGACAAAATGTATCGAATTAAAGAAGAGGTACTTGGCCGACATGCATCAACCAATACGAAGTATCACGTGCTGTACGGGTTCTATTTCCTGGGCTTGTCCAAATCGCAATTGGCAAAAATGTACGGGAAGCATCACACTAC